ACTCCCTCAACCCCTGCAAGCTGGGTCCTGCCCAGTCTGGTTTGTAAATAGTTCTTGGCACATACCCTAGAGGAGAACACAGTCACTAACAATAGCAACTCTCTTTTTAGCTTGAATCTCATAGTACTCAGGATTGCAAGCTTGTAAAAACCGAAAATAACCTAAGAGATTGCACTGGGTTACCCTAACAGGCTAGTCCGGCTCTTGCCAGCATTGCGTGTTATTCCGGCAGATATTCAACCGCTGCTGGTGGGAAGAGAACCAGGTTGAAAGCCAGTCAGACCTGGATTTGAGACCTCACTAGGCTGTTTAATTTTATGACATCAGGCCAGGCACTAATTTGAGCCTGTTGGGAATCGAAAGGGTGCACATATAAATGAGTGCTTAGGAGCCTACAATGCACACTGCACAGTTAAGCCATCATGTCAGGAAATGAAGACAGAAGGAAAGCCTTGGGAAATTACTCTACATTGAATAAGCCTGAAGGGAAATGGGGGCTGTTCTCTGCACACACGTCGACACATGTGTGGTCTCAGAAAACAACTAGAACTATAATCTATTTCAGTCTAAAGACTGTGTTTCGTTCATGGTGAAGTTAGGGATGAGGACCAGGCAGAACGTTTTACATCAAGAAATAGCAGGGCCGGTGAACAAGCCCTCCTAGCTGTGGAGTACAGGGAAGACCGTCATTGTCCGTGCATCAGGTAGACTAGCATTGTCTTTCCGTGGAGGTAAGTTTGCCACCTAGAATCTTTATTTTATTCTTTTAAGTCCTGCTGCTGCTTCCTCCTCTTCTTCTAAGGAAGGATCTTGTGTAGCCCAGGCTGGCCTCTAACTTGCTACGAAGCCAAAGGTAAAAAACTTGAAACACTTGATCCTCATGCCTCTACCTCCTTTGAGGTGGGATTCATAAGTGTGTGCCACCAAGCCTGGGGCAAAGTTGCTCTACCTTCTTCTATGTAATAGTGCTATCTATCCATCTCCAGGCCCTGGCACCCTCTGCTGTCTCCATGATGGCCCGATGCTGCCCTTGCACATGGTCTTAGTCACAATGTTTAGGGTTTCTCTGTAGCTTTGGAGCCTGTCCTGGAACTAGGTCTTGTAGACCAGGCTGGCCTCGAACTCACAGAGATCCGCCTGCCTCTACCTCCCGAGTGCTGGGATTAAAGGTGTGCGCTACCACCGCCCAGCTCTTAATAACAATGTTAACCTCTCTCTCTCTCTCTCTTTTTTTAAATCTAGCAGGTCCTCACACTTGCTAGTAGGAATGCATTTGTAGCTACTTCACAAAGAGCCCAATGTGCTGTGTCTTACTTTCAGAAAAGAAACCAGTTGTGGGGCAGGTTCTTCACATCACTGTGGCATGTCCTAAAAACCTTTATGGTGAGTCTCTGATTGAACTTTATCAATGGAGGCGTTAGGTCTATTGCCGCCTGAGCTACACCAGCCTTCTTCCGCCCCCCTCTTTCATTTGTAATGATCTCAGGACTGACTGAACAGCGGGCAGGAAGGTTATCTTCAGATTGTCATCTTCATTTCTCCACTGTGACCTTCACTTAGGCATGGTGGAGGAGTGTAGTGAAGAGGCAAGCAGGCCTGCTTTTCGTCCTGCCCAACTCCTGCACGGCTAGCGAAGGCCCGGAAATAATAACACAGAAACCGTATTCATTTAAACACTGCCTGGCCCATTAGTTCTAGCCTCTTACTGGCTAACTCTCACATCTTGATTAACCCATTTCTATTAATGTGTATCGCCACTTGACTGTGGCTTACTGGCATGAGTCTAACCAGCGTCCATCTTGGGTAGGAGAAGCATGGCGTCTGCCTGTCTCTGCTTTCTTCCTCCCACAATTCTGTTCTGTCTTCCCTGCCTACCTATGTTCTGACCTATCAGGCCAAGCAATTTTCTTTATTAATTAACCAATGAAAGCAACAGATAGATAGAAGACCCTCCTACATCAGAGGAGTCCTCTTTAATTGAGAGTTCTGGGCTGGGCACCTTCCCCTTCCTTCCTACCTTTCCATCTGGGTTTTAGCATTGCCCTGGGAAACTCACTAACTATGTTGCTTTTGCTCTGCAGAGCCAAGCAAAGAGAGCTCCCTACTGGGCATTTTGTTGTTTCCACAATGGCTTACAAGTAGTCTCATTCTGCCTTCTGGGGGCATCTGGAAGTTTCGGCCAACTCACTGGAAGTACTGTCCAAAGACCTACCGAAAGGTGTTGGCAATGCCAGCTGTCACTCTGCTATCACTGAGGACATACTGATAGTTCCTCCATGGATATGTTGGCTCCTCACGACTGTGTTGACTGCTCTTGACATCTGTAAGTTCTAGACCCAAGTCTATGTCCTGGCCTACAGTCTTGTTTGTAAGTATACTGGACCCCTTCTATACTATGTTCATGGAAGGAGTCTGATACTGACAATATGCCAAGCTTTTCCACTGAGCGCTGGGTCGGGGAGGGGGGTAGGTGGAGATAGGAGTCAAGACCAGAAGCATCTTCCTCCTGGGGCAGGAGATTATCAGTAGACTGAGTTATCAATTCAAGGTCCCATTTTGCGGGTCCTCTGTAGAGAGAGGCCTAGTGTTGTGTGAACACTTTCAGAGGTAAGAAGAGCACAGTTCCATGGCCAGTTGACACCCTCCTCTACCTTGACTCTGAACATGTTAGTATTTCTGCAGAGGATCCTAGAACAGGAATTGCTGAGTCAAGGGTAGGCATACGGTACATGTCAGCAGTAGTGAACAGGTTGCACACATGGGTGTCTGTACATATTATAGTGAGTAACACAAAATTAAGGTGTAGGACTCAAGCAAAAAAAAAAAAGTCCAGCTCAAACAAGGGGACAGTTCTTAACAGCTAAGAGTCCCTCACAATGAGTGAGCCAGTCTCCTTTGAGCGGTGTCCTGTAAGACTGCACTACATAGACGCTGAAGAAAAGCAATATTGTGTGTGAGACTAGAGTGGCTACAATCTAAAGAACCTCAGAAAGTGAGGCTTTGGTACACTCTATAAAGCGTCAGGAACCCTCCCAATGTGACAAGGCCCTGGAGAATGAACCACTCAGGGTTGGACTTTGTCACCTAGATGGCCTTTCCCTAGGGAGCTGAAAGAGGCTTTGTAAGACCAGCTCTTTCAAAAATCTCTAGCCCTGTGCAGCAAATGAGATGTTTTGATTTATTCAGTGATAGATATGTCCAGCATGTTCCCAGCTGGAATGGTCTGGGAATGGCAGTACCGGCGTCTGTAGCTGAGTCTGGACAAGGTTCTGGCCACTCGCAGCATGTTCTCACAGCCTGCGATGGGACTGGTGGACAGGATGTTCACGGCCAAGGTTTGAACCTTTTTTTTTCTCTCTCTGATGTAGATAAAGGTGCTTGCTAGCATAAGCACTTGAATGGACCACATGCTCCTTCCTTTTCCAGCTGCTGAGGTTTGGTTTAGAGTTACTGACCCTGTCCACTGGGCAGCCAGTCACTGCGGAGTGGACGTTGCAGGGGCACAGATTCACGGCTCTTGACTATTATTTATTTTTAACAAGTTCTGCTCTTTTGTTGTTGTTGTTGTTTTTCGAGACAGGGTTTCGCTGTAGTTTTAGAGCCTGTCCTGGAACTAGCTCTTGTAGACCAGGCTGGCCTTGAACTCACTGAAGTCCGCCTTCCTCTGCCTCCCGAGTGCTGGGATTAAAGGTGTGCACCCCCACTGCCTGGCTTGCTCTTTGGTTTTATCAACTTGGGAGAGTCTGAAAGACTTTTCTATGACACAGTTATACCTTCTGTTCTGTTACTCTGATAAAATAGCTTGCCCACACCCGCGAGAAAGGTTTATTTGGCTTACAGTTCCAGGTTTCAGTCCATCACTGAGAGGAGTCAGGAGCTCAAAGGCAGGTCTGTTCGCTATTCCATACAGTACTTTGACTTTTGACACACTTCTTTGACTTTTCTCTTTATGGTCCTGTAAAATCTCCAGAGAAGCCCCGTTTCCTTCATCCAACAGTATTTTGGCTATTCTCTCTTAGCTCCTCTGTATCTCCCTTTGCTATATCTACTTGCCAGTGGATTCTGGAACAGAAAGGTCCTAGCACAGTGACTTAGTACATAGTTGTAGAGTTGCTGAAGAATAGTTATAACTGGCTGTTTGCAATCCTTCTGATTTTAGTATTAGTTTGTGAGCAACTTTTTTTTTGGTTGTTTTATTTTTTGTTTTTGTGACAGGGTTTCTCTGTAGCTTTGGAGCCCGTCCTAGAACTCCGTGGCCAGGCTGGCCTTGAACGCACAGAGATCCGCCTGCCACTGCCCCCCAAGTGCTGGGATTAAAAGTGTGTGCCACCACCGCCTGACCTGTTTGTGAGCAAACTTTTAAGTCTAAACCTGGGGTCATTTATCTGTCAATCCCCAAGATGGAATAGAGGTGTGGTTGTCCCCGGAAGCTGGTGTTCAAGGATTGTAGGGCTGATACAGGTTCAAGGTCGGGGCTACACAGTTTCTTTCTCAAAAGGTAAAAGTGTTGACACCTCCTATAAATTGACCCGGAGCATGACGTAATCTTAGCTCTTCTTGAAAAAGTCAGTAGGGCCGGGCGGTGGTGGCGCACGCCTTTAATCCCAGCACTCGGAAGGCAGAGGCAGGCGGATCTCTGTGAGTTCGAGGCCAACCTGGGCTACAAGAGCTGGTTCCAGGACAGGTTCCAAAGCTACAGAGAAAAACAAAAAGTCAATAGTTAGAACAGAAACAGGAAAGGAGGGGTGGAGGCCGGAAGAGAGGACCTGAGACAGCCTGCTGCCGGAAGGAAGCACGAAAGATAAACTGCACAAAGAGGCCTCACAACTACTACCCTGACCCAGCTCCGCACGTGACGCGGTGGCAGAAGTCAAGCACCTAAACTCTGACTCTCGCGAGAAGGGGCTCGCGTCAGTTCGCTGAATGCCCCGCCCTCAGCCCCGCCCCTCCCGGCCTCCCTCCCACCGCAGGCTCCGCCCCCCCGCCGGCGCGTGCCGTCACTACGTCCTGCGCGACGGCGCAAGGACGGCTCCACAGCGCGGCGTCTGAGGCGGAAGTGGCGCGGCCGTCGCTCTCGGGCGCTCACTGCCGGCTCCGGGTGTTGCGAGGAGCCGTCCGCCAGCCGCCGCGTCTCCTGCTCTCGCCGCCCCTCCATGTGCCCGGGCGCCGCCGTTTCGCCTCGGGCCGCCGCTCACCCCGGGGTCTATGGAAGTGATGGAAGGACCCCTCAACCTTGTGAGTAGTGGCGGGGCTGAGGGGGAACGCGCGGCTACAGGGGGGGGACGGTCAAGGATGAGGGGGAACGCGGGCTGAGGGACAACCCGGATTGACCGGGGAAACCGCGAGCGGAGGGGAACCTCGACCCCAGGTACCCAGGCCGCTCCCTCGGGGCCCGTCGCTTCTACCCTGCTGGGACCGCGTCCCAGCGCCACGTAGCCGCCTGCAGGCCGCGGGCAAAGTCGGGGTGTCCGGGCCGCACCTCTCACACCCCCCATCCCCAGGCTGCCCTCACAGCTGCGTCAACGGAGGCTCCTTGGAGACAGTTGGGCACCAACCGCAGCCCCCTCCCTGCATCCCAAGTCCCATTGCTTTAGTCCTGTCGAAAGTACCAGAGACGTTTGCCCAGGGAGCCCGGTCTGTTTTAGTCAAAAAGGGGGAGTGGGGGACTCAGCCACAGAGTTTTTTGGTTTTTGGGAGTTCGTATTTTTCCCAGAGTGGTCACAAGGCGTCTTTGGGTTTCATTCGCTACAGACGTTTGATTTCTCAGCGTTGCGGACTGGGACTTTGAAGTCCCGAGTCTGTAGGTGGTTTGTGATGTGGTGGGATTGGGAACAGGACCGGGGAGGATTGAGTTCTGCCTTTGGAACCCAGCCCTGCTGACTTGGAAGAGCCTTGGCCATGCTGGGCAGAGAAGCCAGAACCTGTGGTTTGAGAGTATAGATTTCTGGAGCCAAAAATCTTCTCAGATTTGAACTCTGGCTTAGTCACCTAATAGCTTCGGGACCTCGAGCAAAAAAAAAAAATTCACCTCATTTTGTTTTTCAGGTTCCTTGTGAGGATTAAAGGAGTAAACGGATAAAGGGCACGGAGAACCGTGCTTTATAGCTAGAACGTTTGAGGATTTAGCCGCTGGTCTAATGAGCCCATAAGCCCTTGACATTTCCTTTAACGAGCTTTATTTGGAGTGGGTGAGCTTGAACGCCCAAGAGTGGTCACCTCGCTGGAGCCAGGTTAGCAGCTCCGAGAATCCTATCCCAGGGTTACTAAGTTAGGCCTTGCCTCTATTCCTCAGTTGTTTACACTTAAGGATGACCACACCGGTGAGGTTTTGAAAGCCAGGGGAATACCTTGCCCCTCTCTGGTTTTTAAGAGAACTCGCGAGGTCAATATAGTTTGCGATGAAGTGTGGATGGCTCAATCCCGAAAGTCCACAGGAATATTAGGAGTGGTAGCCAGCTGTTTACAAAGTGCTTCAAAGTTCAAGTGTCCTTGCAGAACCATCACTGGTTCTGTTCCAGGTGGCTTTATTTGGCACCAGGGTGTAGCCTGACTCCAGCTCCACTGGTGTGTTGTGCTTGTGAGAAGACTGAACCTGGCTTTCATTGGTAGGTGGAGCACCAGGTGCTCAGTCTAGGAAAAATGAGGTAAACGATGGCTACAGAACTTAGGTTTATCTCCTGCCTGTTTGAGCCATGCCAGCTTCGCTGTCACTCTGTTGCCTAGGCTGGTCTTAGGCACTGGGTCATCCTGCTTCTGCTTTCCAAATGCTGGGCTTCCATTATTCCTCTAAATGCCTGTGCCTCCGTGCCCTGGGAAGTTTTTAAATAGGTACATTAGGAGGCTCATACAGTTTCATTTTCTCTGGTCTTAACATTTATGTGACAAGCTTCAGAAATGTGGCAGCTTGACTTTTTGAGCCTTTTGAGATTTTGAAGATTGCTGACTTCCAGCCTAACTCTTTACTCGATAACGGCTGGATGTCAACTTGAAAGAAGCGTATGGCAAAGTAGCAGTGGTAAGCCTCAGTCAGAGCTGTAGAAGACTCGGGTTTGTGTATGTGTGTGTTTCACATATGTGAAATCAGGATAACTCGGGAGCGTCAGTTCTCCATATGGGCTTGGAAAGTGAACTCATATAACCAGGTTGGTAGTGAGTATCTATCCCCTGAGTCCTAGACTTAAAAGGGCATTTGTGAATACACCACGGTATCTTTATTCAACTTTAAAGGTAGCTCTAGGGGCTGGAGAGATGGCTCTTCCAAAGGTCCTGAGTTCAATTCCCAGCAACCACATGGTGGCTCACAACCATCTGTAATGAGATCTGGTACCCTCTTCTGGCCTGCAGACATACATGCAGACAGAATATTTTATGCATAATAAAAATAAATATTTTAAAAAAAAGGTAGCTCTAAATTCTGACTTAATGCGTATCTTTGAAAATTCTAGTAAACTACAAGTTTATCACTGGAGTGTACTCCAGATTCATAATATAAGGACTTCACTACTGTACGTGGGTTATATGTCCTCAGAGCATCCTTGGAATTTAGTAAGACCTGTTTGAGATATTTGCTGATGAACAAGTCTAACCTGAGGGAAGTTAAATAATAGCTTAGGTCAGTGACTTTAGTGCATTTTGCATTTCAACTCATTATGACCTGCTGCTAAGAAGGCTTCCATATTCGTGTACTTTTCATTTTCCTTGGTCTTTATATTGAGCTCTGTGTCTCTATTGCCTCTGCTGGAGTTTTATTGTTAGCGTTATAGCAAGATTAATTTCCTCACAGTGAGATTTTCAGGACATGGAAGAGACTAGTTTGAATTATTATTATTATTGGTGGGGGGGGGGGGTTGAGACAGGGTTTCTCTGTGGCTTTGGAACTAGCTCTTGTAGACCAGGTTGGCCTTGAACTCACAGAGATCTGCCTGCCTCTGCTTCTGCCTCCCAAGTGCTGGGATTAAAGGTGTGCCCCACCACCGCCTGGCTAAATTATTGCAATATTTTAATATGTAAGTATGACAGATATGCTAGCTCTTTGATGTTCAGAGTTGGTCAAGAGAAGTATTTTGTCCTTTGAATGAAAAATAGTCTTTCAATTTTGGATCAATTTGACCTATCAAGTGTTTTCCTTTTTGTTATTTGCCTGTTTGAGGTAGGGTCATAAGACCAGGCCACAGTGTATACAGTTCAGGCTAGCTTTAACCTTGTGATCCTCCTGCCTCAGTTTTCTGAGTGCTGTGATGACAAGCCTGCACCACCACGCAGCTTGTTAACTTTAAATATGGAAAAATTGTAACTTACCAAATCACTTAGTGTCTATTAGGTATTTCTTTCCATGCATTAAATTCTGGCATTTGGCTGGTAGCAAATGACTGGCCAAGCTTCGGTGAGATTGTTTCTAGTGCTGTCATCTTAGTGTCCATGACTTTTGTTATGTTTTACATGCCTAGGCTGCTGCAGGCAATACCCACGGGACTACACAGTCACACTTGCTTTGTTGTTGTTTTGCTTTTTATGTGTTTATCCTTCAGTCACCCAATTTTCTCTCTGTTTATGCTTAAGAGGGCTGGGCATAGCTGGGCGCTGGTGGTGTGCTCCTTTAATCCCAGCAGAGGCAGGGGCAGGTGAATCTCTGTGAGTTCAAGGCCAGTCTGGTCTACAAGAGCTAGTTCCAGGACAGGTTCCAAAGCTACAGAGAAACCCTGTCTCTCTCTCTCTCTCTTTTTTTTTTTTTTTTTTTTTGAGACAGAGTGCTGGGTGCTGGGAGTGTTGGTTAAATAACTGAGCTTCCTTCTGGAGTGTTTAGTTCTTGACCGCTGCCTGAAGTGGTTAATGTTTTCAGGCATCTCATACAAGAAAAAGAGTCCTATCGTGGGCTAGCTGTCTTTTATGTAGCTGAAGTCTTTGTAACTAGTTTGAAAACTAGTGATAGTAGAATTAAAATCTTTAAAGAAAAAGGCTATTTCAGTCCCCTTTGTGTTGCTCTACAAATAACCTAAGGAAAATAATCCTATGCCATAGGTATAGTTGGAATTACTTGGGAGCACTCTGGGTGAGGAGCATGGAGTGCTGGCTTATAGCCAACATTTAGTAAAATGGTAGGGCATCATTGTGTCTTTTTGTCTTGTCTTAATATCTAGATGCGCTATTCTGCCAGTTTTGTAGATTATGACATTAAATGCAGAATAAGTTGAGATAGTGGGGTTTGGAAGCCAGAATCTAAAATAAATCATTGAGCTTTGTATTAGAACATTATTTACCCATCTGCTTTAACTGTGATCTGCATGAGAAATCCTTACAGATTGGTAAATCAGTTTTGGGTGTAGTACTGCCAAGCTGCTGTGTCATGGAATATATCTTGTGCTTCTGCAGAAACATTTCACACAAAATAAAGCCAAACTATAACTTTTTACTGAATATGAAGTGCTGTAATATTTACTGGTGTGTGTGTGTTAGTGCTTTGCCTTCATGTACATTTGTGCACCATATATGTGCTTGGTGCCCCTTGGGCTAGAAGAGGTCATTGGGCCCCCAGGAAGTGGAGTTTCAGTGAGATACCATCAGGGTGCTGGGAGTCAAATTTACTAGTTCCTCTGGAAGAGCAGCCTGTGCTCCTACTGCTTAGCCATCTCTCTAGCCTACGGATTTTTTCTTAATACTACCAGAATTGACCACATTGTTTTCATATGTGAATCCTATACTAGATTCTCGCCGTCTACACAGCAGGTGGTGACAGCTTTGGAAAAACAAGAACAAGCTCAGCTAGAAACTGATGGGCATAAAAAGTTTATAGACAAAATAGCACAAGGAGAGAGGTGGTCTTCAGAGTTGGAATGAGGCCCTCAAGTTCACTGGAGCAGTTAGTTACCTTCAGTTGAACTGTTGTGTTGATTATACAGTCGACTGGGTGCACATGCGTGGAGGTACTGCTTCACACTTGTTTGTCCAGTGAACTGGGACAGGGGTGTAGGGCTAATATTTCTCCTTTGTTCCCAGTTGAATGCCATACCAGTCAGGAATATAGTATATATCCTCTGCCTTCTTTCTAATATTTGGAATGGTGGTTTTTTTTTTTTTTTTTTTTTTTTTCTGTCTCAATATAGCACTTCCTTCAGGTCAGAACTTAGTAAATTGAAAGATACGGAAGATACTGTTATTTATAATATTGGAGGTATTTTGTTTTGAGACAAGATTTCTCTGTGTCCTGGGTAGACCAGGCTGGCCTCCAGTTGACAGAGCTCCGCCTCTCTCTGCCTTCTGAATGCTAGTACTACAAGCACCACCATGCTGAGAAAAGTGCAATTTTAAAATAGCCAGCAAAAGGAAAAAGTTCTTGAGTGTAAATTCATTGACTTAGTAGCCTAATTGTAGTTGCTAGGATGTTTGTTGGTTTTAGATAATGAGAACTCACTTCTGTTAGCTTAAGGCCAAAGAGATATTACCCAAAGAAGGATCAGGAAGACCAGTGCACAGTGTCTGTAGAGGGAGGCTTCTTGTTTGTTCCCAGCTGCCCAGACCGTGAAATAATCACTCAAATGATATCATTTAAGTCACTTCTTGTCCAAACTCTTTAAGTGTATTGCTAGTAAATTAACCCATTCTATTAATCTGTGCATTGCCACGTGGCTGTGGCTTACTGGATAAAGTTCCAACTGGCGTCTGTCTCTGGCGGAGCTACATGGCTTCTCCTGAGCCCGCCTTCTTTCTCCTGGAATTCAGCTTAGTTGTCCCCAGCTCTATTCTACCCTATTACAGGCAAAGGCAGCTTCTTTATTCATTAATCAATAAAAGCAACACACCACACAGAAGGACTTCCCATACCATTTCCCCTTTTCTTTTTAAATAAGAAGGAAGGATTTAGTAAAAGCAACACACCACAGTGTCTGAGAGCCTGTGTATATTGGAAATCAGGAGTAGGATTCCTGTGATGGGCTTTGGGCTGTTTCACTTCCTTCAGGCCTTTGTTTCCGCCTGGCCACTCTCAGAATGCCCTGTAGTTAAAACCACTTCAAGTTTTATTGCTATTCTTGCTTTCTGATCCCAGGTTTGGAAAGCCAGGCAATATAAGAATGCGGCACCTGTAATAGGAATCATAGTTGTTGAGGAAAATCAGTGTATAGAAAGGGGTAAACTGTTTTGAGTTTTCTGGTTTTTACTTTGAATTTATTTAAATGGATCAGTTTTAAGTGGGAATCCTAAAGAGTCCTTTAAAAAAATAACATTAACAATCAAAATAGGTTTCTACAGTATTGTCTATCGTTTTATTACCATTTGTTTAGAGACAGGGTTTCATGCAGCACAGACTGATCTCAAGCTCATTATGTAGTTAGGGATGACTTTGAAATCTTCATCCTTCACTACCTGCCAAGGGCTGGGATTATAGGTGTGCATCACCATGCCTGGCAGACGTGAAGCTGAGACTGTGTCCTACATTACAATTGGCCTCTGACTTGTGATCCTGCTTCAGCCCCCTTAGGGTTGGGTATAGAGGTGTGAGCTGTCATCTGTGATGTCTCAGATTGCGCTTTGCCCTTGTTCCTAGCTTCCCTCCGTCCCTTCCTTCCTCCCTTCCCTCCCTTTCTTCATTCTTTCTCCTTTTTTCCTTCCTTCCTTCCTGTCCCTCCCTCCCGCCCTCCTTCCTGACTTCCTTACCTCTTCCTTTCTTTTTGTGCGTGTTTTTTGTTTGTTTGTTTATTTGTTTGTTTTGAGACAAAGTTTCTCTATAGCTCACTGGCTGTCCTGGAACTTGCTCTGTAGAACAGAGTGGTCTCTAACTCAGAGATCTTCCTGACTCTGCCTCGCAAGTGCTGGGATTAAAATTGTATGCTGCCACTCCTGGCTTGTCTTTGATTCTCTATTAAAATGTGTCCAGGAGCCTCAGACACAGCCTCACCTCAGTAGATTTGCAGACCCTATTACAAAACTACAGACTGAAAATCTGCATTTCACCCAGATCTGCCTGAATGGTTTGAATTCTCTTTACAACTCCTAAAATAGTGACCTGGTTGAAATTTTATTGACAGTGAGAAAACAGCCCCAGCAGGGTAGGACAGTTTAGCTGGTTCAGAGTGAGAGTCAGAACTTGAAGAGACAGGGACACTCTCGTGCTTCATTGTCCTTGTTATGAAGGGCTATGGGGTTTCACAGAAGTTTTCTTTTGTGAGAGAAAAAGTGTGGGCTTTTTAAAAATATTTTTAGAGCTCAAAAAAGGTGAAAGCACCTGCATATGACCCCTTCATTCACTTTTCTGTTCTCTTAACGCCTAAGACCTTGTTGGTTGAATGCCACTGTTCATTCAGATGATCTGCCAGATTCCTTGTTGATACTGTCTTCTCAAAAGGTCTGCTTTTCACCTGAGGGTGGTACGTGTGCATACTCCCAGCAGGTGAGAAGAGGTAGAGCAAGAGGAACAGGGCTTCAAGGCCAGACATGGGGTCCTATCTCAGAAATCTGCTCCATCCCACCCCAAATGTTTTATATGGATACTAGAAAATATTTAGGTGTTCAGAACATACTTTTTGCTCAGTCCAAGCCTCCATGGTTAAAATTAACCCACCCATGCCCCCTGGTTTTTCGAGACAGGGTTTCTCTGTAGCTTTTGATTCTGGCCTGGAACTAGTTCTTTTAGCCCAGGCTGGCCTTGAACTCACAGAGATCCGCCTGCCTCTGCCTCCGAGTGCTGGGATTAAAGGCGTGTACCACCACCACCACCACCACCACCAGGCGAAAATGTTCTAATCTTAACATAAGTTACTGGCCTTGTTACATAAGAGAAGGAAACAGGTTGACAAAGCTGTAAGTGAAATAATGTGTATTCAAGTTCTTTATTTGTTGCTGTTGATGGATTATCATCCAATAACCTTGTAAGAGTCAGCCAGGTGCTCTATTCTGAGCTGTGTGTTTATCTCCAGCCTTTGGAGGATTTGTTTATTTCTTTGTTTGTTTGTTTGTTTGATTGATTGCTTACTGGCATTTTGGCAATTGAACTGAAAGCTTGCGCCTTGTCATGCTAGACAGATCTGGTTTACCACTGACTACACCTTGTAGCCTTTGGTCTTTGACTTGGTCTGTTGATGAGGCTAACCTAAGCTAGGAGATGGCTTGGCTCCTCCTCCTCCTGAGAGCCAGCATTACAGGTGTGTGACTCCATAGCTGGAGGCTTTGGGAAACTTAAATATCCATGTAAGAATGGTGGCACTATTTAGCTATATACCTTTACAGTAGGGACATCTAAACCCTTTGCTTTTTAGAACCTCTAACTTAGCCTTTCTCTTTTTGATGAATTGTATATGAAGAGATAGTAATATTAAATATTAGAACCCCTCACGCGTATTTTTTTTTTTAATTTTAAGGTAAGTAGTAATTTTAATGTTTAAAGGGAAGAATGAACAGCTATAAGAGAAGTTTGGATTTTTCATGACACATTTCCTGATTAAAGTCTTTAGACTATATAAACTTTTGAAAATACCTACAAGATGTCTCTTTGAAATATCGAGAAAGCATGTTCTGTGTAATACCTGGGATTGTAAGTCTTTTGTTACTCTGATCTGTGGAAGAATAGAGGTCACTTAGCAGTTAGAACCTGATAACTGAGAGGATTATGGGTAGAGAGGAGTTGCCAGTTTTTATCAGATGATGTGGTTCTAAGCTTGACTTCTTCCATTTGTTTGTTTGTTTTCAAGACAGGGTTTCTCTGTGTAACAACCCTTGTTGATCTAGAACTCACTCTGTAGACCAGGCTGGCTTTGAACTCGCTTGCCTCTGCTTCTCCAGTGCTGGGATGAAAGGCTTGTGCCACCACCACCCTGCTAAAGATTGTTTTTTAAAAGTCTTGTTTTGTAATTTGGAGTAACTCAGAATGTTTGTTTTCTAGGCTCACCAACAGAGCCGACGTGCAGACCGTTTGTTAGCTGCTGGGAAATACGAAGAAGCGATTTCTTGTCACAAAAAGGCTACAGGTAAGTATTTTTCTTAAGAAATACTGGATAGAGCTGTTGGCAGGTTGAGGCCGGAATATTGCTATGAGTTGGAGGCCAGCTTAGACTACCAAGAGAAATCCTGTCACAAAACAAAAAGAACAAGAATACTTTGTTATTCGTAATTATATTGTAGCAACTACTACTAAATGTCATTTAGTTTACTGACTTTCCGGTGCTGGAGATGGAGCTTAGTGTAATTACACACTTGGCATGTGTTGGTTTCTTATCAGAGACACAAATTTCTGAATTAGCCTTATAAATAGATCTGAGGGCTCTGTTTTCCAACATTCGAGTTGCATCTAGAATGGGTGTCGAGTCTGTTTTAGAACAAGGTCTGCAGTCTTTCTGCTAGGAAGGCGCTATTCCTTCCCTTTCACAAGAACAGAATTCTTTCCTGGCAGGGAATGGAATGTTACTATACTGTTGAAATACAAACTTACAGTGGGCAATGCTTTGAATAAATTTTCAGTACATTCTTCCTGTAAGTAATTATCAAGAGAAAAAATATTTTTTGATTCAGGATCTTGTTTATCTAACCCTTGATGGCCTAGTACTCATTATAGCCCCGGTTCCTTCCCAGACTTGAACATTCCTCCTGCCTCAGCCTTCCCCAGTCCTTGGATTACAGGTATGTGCCGGTCATACCCAGCTGGAAAAAAATTAATTAGTTGTAGCTAGCGAGTGGCTCACACCTGTAATCCTCACACTTTGGGTGAGAGGTGAGAACGTCACAACATTTGACACCAACCATACTATATAGCCAGTCTCTTCCTTAAAAAAACACCAGCAGGAACCAGTTTTATCATAAGTGTGCCCATGTGTCTGCTGTAGGTCTTGCATACATAACTAGGTACCTCATAATAGTATTTTTATGTCTGGTGCAGTTTTCTACAACATGAAACCAGTGGTCTTTAAATCTCTCCTCAACCATATTATTGTCCAGATTGTTGATTTGTATCATTAACTCCTGTGAGAGTACGCCATGTTTAGGAAAACCATGATGTGGATGAGAGCCCGGGTGCATTAACCGTAGTGAATTGGGTTTCCTGTGTATGCCATGGGTTAACGTGGAGCGAATCACCATATGGTTATGTGTATACTAAATGCACGATAGTCTGAAGAACATGAAAGAGAAAAAAAATCATCCCTAAGGTCTTTTGTCTTTGAAGACTTAAACAGCTATGTGACACTAGGCAGTGTAGCTCAGTGGTAGAGAAGTTGCAAAGAAGTAGGTTGGGGGTGTTAATCTTTCCTGAACATCTACTTTAATATTAGCCTTACATTATAATTGGAAGAAGTAATTGCCAGTATTGTGAAGATTTTTCTGAGCACAATAGGACTGATAGACATATGAATTCACAGAGCGTGCATAAAACTTGTAGGGATTCAGACCAGAAAATTTCAGGACTGAGAAAGGGTAGTGAGCAAGTCCCACCCCTAACCAAGAAGCTAATTGCAGCTGATACCTGCTGGAGAAGGGAATACGTTTTCTCCAGTGGAGAGTCACTGGGAATATCGTCCACACTGCAGGGCAGGCCCCATGCACAGGAGTAGCTGGCCCACATAAAACAGACCTCATGGTTTTTTGGGTGTGTGGGGGGGGATGAACATTTTGGGTCTTTTGTTTGTTTGTTTTGCTTCGCTTTGCTGGTTTTTGTTTTGATCTCCCCCCCCCCCAAGTGAAAACATGAAGTTGGGTGGGTAGGGAGGTGGAAAGGATCTGGAAGGAGTTGGGAAGGGAAAGAATATGATCAGAATATAGTTTATGAAAAAAATTGAAGTAAAAAAAGTTTTTTTGAGATTGTCCTTTCATAAATTTCAGTATTAGGAGATTATCACAGTGATTCTGTGAGACAACCATGCCGTGCACTCAATTTTTCTTTTTTAAATTTCAGAATGATACTTATTTATGTGTATGTGCATGCCTGCCTGTTTATGTGTACCACATTCGTGCAGGTGCTCATGGAGGTGAGAGGACATTGGATCCCCTGGAATTGGAATACAATGCTATGTGGGTGCTAGAAACCAAATCTGGGTCCTTTTAAAGAGCAATAGTGCTCTTAACAGCCCAGCCGTCTCTCTAGTCCCCCCCTTTCTTTTAAAACAACTTTTTTTTTTTCCTTTTTTGTTCCAGTTGTAAGACCTTATTGTGAGAAATCTCCAAAGTGGTAGTGTGGCCTTTGATGAATTTGCAGTTCTGGATTATCTGTGGGTACCCTACCATGTTATATTCCGTTTCAGAGAGCTCCCCAAGTCAGCGTTTCCAGTTCTAAACTTGGTTTTGTGAAAGCTGTTCTCATTGTTAAGATGGTGGTTTAAAGTAAACTGTTGTTCAGAGGAGACACGTGTGCAGACAATATGAGAGGGATGTCGTAAGAAATTCCATGGTGTATGTAAGCAGTAACAGACCTCTGGATGGAATGTCACTACAGGTTTGCAAACAGTGCAGCTTGACAGACCTAGCACTGAGAAGTTGAAGAGATGTATGTAAGCCTGGCCAGTATGGCTGGAACAAAGATGATAGCTCTTCTTTGTCTCTCTCTCTCTCTCTCTCTCTCTCTCTCTCTCTCTCTCTCTCTCTCTCTTTCTTTCTGGAGAGGAAACATCTAATTTGAATCTCAAGGTTGGTAGAACCTAGCAGACAGGAAATTTTAAGTTGTGAAATAAAAAAATCTCTAAAGTATTTGGATTGCAACCAGACAACAGTGTCGTAATATCTGTAAAGGGAAGTTAGTGTAAAAAAACAGAAGTTCCAAAAAGTTGACAGTCAGTAAGAGCTTGATCCATTATTAGTGATACTTGTTATTTTATTCTGATTATTCCAGAAAAACTGTAAAATGCTGTACAGAGGAACGTATAGCAGAATACAGACGCTAAAAAGAAGTAGATGAGGAAAGACATAAAAAGCAAAAATGAAAGAACTATAAGTATGACTCAAAGGAATTCCAAGTTCCTGAGTCATGCTCTTGGTTTATATCAGTCAGGGTTACAGTTTTGCCTGCAATCCTGAGCCTGGCCATTACTCCCTGCATTCTGGTCAGCATTCTGGTTTGCTCTGCTCTCGCTAAAATTGCCCATTAAACTCCACGTACAAGCCGGGCGGTGGTGGCGCACACCTTTAATCCCAGCACTCAGAGGCAGAGACCGGCGGATCTCTGGGAGTTCAAGGCCAGTCTGGTCTACAAGAGCTAGTTCCTAGTTCCTGGACAGGCACCAAAGCTACAGAGAAACCCTGTCTCGAAAAACCAAAAAAAAAAAAAAAAAAAAACCAACTCCACATACAGCATACAGCCTTTTAAGATGTCTTGGCTGGCCTCCCTTTCTACACTTCTGAACTTTTGTAGAGGAGTACCAATGACCTCTAAACGGTACAGTCAGGCAGAATCACAGTGACCCCACTTGGCTCTAGTTTTTTGGGTTTTCATAACTGTGACAGAAATATCTAAGGAAAATTAACTTTATTTGTGTGGGGGGGTCTGTGTACTTAGTATGTGGGGGGGGTTATACACTTGCACCATAGTGCTTGTGGGGGGGTGTACACTTGTGACATAGTGCATGTGTGTGTTGGGGGTGTACATTTGCACCATAGTGCATGCGTGCATTGGGGGTGTATGTACATTTGCGCCATAGTGCATGTGTGTGGTGTACACCTGCACCATAGTGCATGTGTGTGTGGGGTGTACAGTTGTGCCATAGTGCATATATGTGTAGGGTGTACATATTTGTGCATAATGTTTATCCTTGGAGCCCAAAAAGGTCAGAAGAGGACACTGGATATTCTGAGATTGGAGTTAAAATTGTGAGCTAGCAAGTGGATACTGGGACTTGAACCTGACTCCTGGATGAACAGCCAGTGCTTATAACCACTAAGTCATCTATTTCTTCAGCCCCTGAGACCGTACTTTAAACAAAGATACATCCAAATCATGTCAGCTTTCTCTTAGCCCAAAGAGAAAATGTAAGGATTTCAGCATTGCCTATTAAAATTCAACAGGTTAAGCAACCCAGAATTTGATCAAGATAGGAAAAGCTTGACCCTCTTCATAAATCGCATTAAATCGCATTATTCTGTCCTCACACAGTATATTATCATATATATTATATATAATCATATTCTAAGGTTTTGTTGTTTTGTTTTTTTTGTTTTTTTGTCCGTCCCCCNAGCTCTTTTGTTGTTGTTGTTTTTGTTATTTTGGTTTTTTCGAGACAGGGTTTCTCTGTGGCTTTGGAGCCTGTCCTGGAACCAGCTCTTGTAGCCCAGGTTGGCCTCGAACTCACAGAGATCCGCCTGCCTCTGCCTCCCGAGTGCTGGGATTAAAGGCGTGCGCCACTACCGCCCGGCTGGTTTTGTTGTCTGAATTGAATTTGTGATTCTCCTGTGTCAACCTCCCAAATGCTGAAATTACATGTGTGTCACTGTGTCCAGCTTAGGGTTAAGTACCTAACTAGTGGTTGGCTGTTGGTATTGTGTTGGTGTAGCTCAGAAACAATTGATAAAAATAGTTCTTATAGGAGACCACAATGATGTAGTAGCAGATACTCAAATGGGCACTCATAAATATCTGTTGAGCATAAGGCCTCAGTAAATTCCTACTTAATTTGATTCTCAATAAACAGTTTTTCTAATTAAATCTTCAGTTCCTTTATCATACAATCTACAAATATCTTTGCTCTGCATTGTTGGGCTCAGGTTTGTATTAGGCAAGCACTCTGCCGTGGCTAGGAGACTGAAACTGGGGTTCAACCTGAAGGTCAGAAAAGTAAAACAGCCAGTCATATGCTCTTACTTCAGCCTAAGTCCGAAAATGGTGATCTTGCTTCCAAGAATCTCAGGATGAGATTCAGTCTGTGAGCGTCTCCTCCGTTTTATATTCCTCTCTAAGGCTGGGATTAAAAGCATGCACTGCCTGGTTTGGTTTCTATGGCAACTAGTGTGGCTACTTGAGTTAAAGGTGTGTGTTACCAGCACCTGGTCTGTAAGGCTGACCAGTGGGGCTGTTTTACTCTCTGACCTTCAGGCAAGTTTTATTTATTAAAATACAAATGTAATGCCACTACAGCTAGGTCCCCAACCTGCCAACTTTAGAAGTTTAAAGCCTCCGGTTTTTAAGATGGGCTAGGGAATACGTATTTACCAGTGACATTCTTTTGGGGAGAAGTTAATGCTGTTTTAAAATTTGCCTTTTTAACACAATTGCTTAGAAGACCAAGTTCTGTACTCTGGGTGTAAATACTTCCATTATTAGCCTATAAGTTACAAAATAATGATGTGCATATATTAATTTGCTGCTTTTTTTTTTTAACCAGCTTATCTCTCTGAAGCCATGAAGTTGACACAGTCTGAGCAGGTGAGACACGCTAGTAGTATTTGCAGAAATGTTTGGGGGGCTGGAGAGATGACTTAGCAGTTAAGAGAGCCCAGTATGGTTCCCAGTAATTGTGCCAGGCAGCACACAAACATCTTCAGTGCAAAGGGATCTGGTGCCTTCTTCTGGCCTCCACTGGCACTGTGCTCACATGTACTGCTTCCCCCATTACCAAAACAAGCAAACAACAAAAAGTCTTTTATCATTTATTTATTTAGATCAGGGATTCACTATATAGTCCTTTCTGGCCTGGAACACACTGTGTAGAGCAGGGTAGCCCTGAAATCCAAAGTGCATCCAGCTCTGTCTCCCCAGTGTCAGGACTAAAGGGTGTGCTACCATGTCCAGCTGAAAAAGAAAATCTTTTTTAGAGAAAGGTTTTCTTGTGGAGATTTGAATTGGGTAAAACCTAAAGTTTTATGTCTTTCTCAAAACACTAAAAAATATACGGATGTATTTTGGGAAAGAAATGAAAGCTATGTTAGCTGCCATTAGCCTTCCAGCCTGCCTTCCTATTTCCTGTTGTTACTCCCAGGTCTCATGCTCCACTGGCTAACACTGAGGAAGCAGGGATGGCCCAGGGGAACTGGATGGACAACGCTTTGCTTGTCAACTGCAGTTTAAATCTGAATAATCTCCTGTTTGCTTCTTTGATACGTAGATGATTCCTGCACTTTGAGATCTGTTTCAGGATGACTTCATGCTGACTTAATATGTTTAGGGAAGGCCTGTGCTTAAGCATAAGGTACTTAAATGTCTTCAACTTACCTTCATTCCAGGGCTGGAGAGGTTAAAAGCACTGAGTGCTCTTCTAGAGGACATGAGTTTGTCCCCATCACCCACATACCAGTTTGTAGTTAGCAGAGGAAGCTCAGCTTATTTACTTGGGCACAGCCATGACAAAGACCATAGCTTCAGAACCATGGGAAGTTGACAAAACCTTTTTCTATGTGCATCCATCTCAGAACTGGCAAAGCCTTCTTCCTTGGTTCAAGTTTGAATGCTGATGTGTGTAAAAAGTAGCTGCTGCTGCTTTGTGCTCCCAGTTAGTCAGAGCTTGAGACCATGTTTCTGTCTCCAGAGACCAGCTAGCCCCGTCCCTGTGCTGTCCATGGTAAACAAACACGCTGAGACCCAGGTTGCAGTGATAGTTGGTATGGACAAGTGCCTTTCTTCATTGTCTTGCCACCCAAGTCAGGATTCCATGTGGGTCACGGCAGGGTCTCCTAACATTCTGCTTCTCCAGTTCCAGGGGATCTTTTGCCTCTTGTTCCAGGGGATCTTTTGCCTCTTGTAACCTTCCTGTACATATACTCGTACATATACAAAATATTTTTTAGAAAATCTTTATCCAAGGTTTTTTCCCTTTTTTCAGTGCTCTAGGTTCAAGCCTGGGTCTCTGTACATGCTAGCGAACATCATTGCACTGAGCTACACCCCTAGCTGTAAAGACAATGTCTTGATTTATAATGATGGGTACCTAAGAGGATTGGTGACTGAACTAAGGACATGGGTTCTGTAAGCTGTGGCATTGGCAAAGTAAAAACGCTTAACTCAGATTGATTGAACACCACAGCTGATAGTGTAGAGCTTGTGATAGCTGTCATATGGTGTGCATCAAGCTTTCCAAATACCCTGAGCATTGGAAGGTCATAGATGAAGGGGATACAGTCCATCATCGTAAGGAAGCATGACACTTGGAACTCAGTTCACAGTGACAGCCCAAGGCATGGCTTGTTAATCTCTCTAGATCAGGAAGCAGAAAACTGGCTATGAACCTCAAGGCATGGGCAGGCCACTTATAGACCACACTTCCTGAAGATTGCACAGCCAGTCAAGCAGGTGTTCAGGCACATAAGCCTGGGAGCTTTCTGATGTTAAGTTCTTTACCCTGACCTTCTCTTCCATGTCACAGGCTCACCTATCACTGGAATTGCAACGGGACAGCCACATGAAACAGCTTCTCCTCATCCAGGAGAGGTGGAAGAGAGCCAAGCGCGAGGAGCGGTTGAAAGCACAGCACAGCACGGACAGGGACGGAACCCCCCACCTGCAGGCATCTCACAAGCCCTCTGAGGACATGGAGGGTCAGAACCCTCTTCTTTGTCAGACGTACATCCCTTCCACAGAGAAGCGCCTCCCTGAGCTTCAGGGGGTCTTCGACAGGGATCCAGACACACTGCTATATTTACTTCAGCAAAAGAATGAACCAACAGAGCCGTGTATTGGAAGCAAAGCCCCAAAAGATGATAAAACAATAATAGAGGAGCAGGCAACCAAAATTGCAGATTTGAAGAGGCATGTGGAGTTCCTCGTGGCTGAGAATGAAAGATTAAGAAAAGAAAATAAACAACTAAAGGCTGAGAAGGCCAGACTCCTGAAAGGACCAACAGAAAAGGAGCTGGACGTTGATGCCGACTTTGTAGAAAAGTCAGAGCTGTGGAGCTTGCCACCACACTCGGACACTGCCACAGCCTCTTCAACGTGGCAGAAGTTTGCTGCGAATACTGGGAAAGGCAAGGACATTCCAATACCCAATCTTCCGCCTCTGGATTTTCCTTCTCCAGAACTTCCTCTTATGGAGTTCTCTGAGGACATTCTGAAAGGATTCATGAATGATTAAAACGGAAGGCATTGGAGAGGCTGGTGACAGTTCATCCAGAAAAGAGTACAGAGGGAAAGCCACGCCCAGGGGAATCCCAGAAATGCTCCTTCATCTGGTGTACTGTGGGAGAAGAGGCCGTGCCAGGACCTGGGAAAGTCACTGTGAAACATCACTTATCTTACGACTAAAGCTCGTGATTCCGACTTGGCAGACACTGAACTCTGGATGGAGGTTCGCTTTCTTATGATACAAACCAAATGGCTACCTGGAATAATTTTTCAAACAGTTATTTTTCTTATCTTCAGGGTTAAATGTATAAAAGTATGTCATGTGTAATTAATCTATAATGCCATAAATGATAATGCAAAAGCTAAATATGGTGGCCTGAGAGGCTCACTTGTATTTGGAACATGCTTTCTATCATGCATTGACTGTATGCATTTTATGCACATTTTGTTTGTTGAGATACGGTGTGTAAGATACACCCTTCCAGATGGAACTGTATGTGCCACAGTTTGCACTACTCGTAACATAATGATTATAACCTCAAGATTATCAGGAGAAATATTTAAATTTCCATTTTATGAAGAAAGGAACCAAATTATTAGTTATGCTTTTTTAAAAAATTACCAGTTTACATAATTAATCAGGGTGCATTTTAAGTTCTAACTTTGTGTTATATGATGCATCATTTGAAAATACTGAGGAACTCTTCCTTTGTTCTGAATGATGCATGTGTGAAAGTAATGCTAGTTAGCAGTATTTGATTGTAAGACATCAATAAAGTAATTGTGTTTCATACCCTTGTTGAATATGGCTGGTGGTTAACAAACATGGCGCTCAGTGGCTTCTCCCTGTGTTCCCATCTTTTCTCTTCATGAGACCCTGCTATGAAGTAAGCAGTCCATGGTGGTCTCAGACTTGTGATCTCGCCCTCCTTTTTACAGTGAGCTGTATAGGCTGGGGTGTAGTTCAGCGCTGGGTGTCCGAGGTGAGCACTTCCCACCGCTTCTGCTCCTCGTGCCCTTCCTTCCCATCACTCTTACTGGTTTGCCATTCTCTTGGATCTTTTTCTATCTTTCGTTGATGCTCTGTGCACACTGCTCAGTGCTCTTGCGTAGCCTGGCTCTGTTGGAGCTTTGTGCTTCACGTCTGTGCTGTGTCACCATGCTCAGTGTGTTAGAGAGGTATGCCACTCTTACATCCCTCAGTACCTCGTGAGTTTCATTTTTATAAAATGGGTTTGGTTTACCTGACTTATTCTAGCAGAGTAATCCAAACTGCCAAAGGACTAACCTCCGGTTGGCAAGCAGAAGTCAAACCTTGGGTTGTGTTTTGGCCCGAGGTGCACACTCAGTTGTGGGATCCAGCACCACATACAGGTACGCATCAGAACTGAAGGGAGCTGAAGGACATCTGATTGGCTAGTCTCTGCCAAAAAAAACTACCAGGTGAGTGGAGAACCCACACACTTGGTGTCTAATGTAAGAAGTGGAAAGTGAAGACGAGGAAAACCAGCTGGCCTTCACTCAGCTGTCTGCTGAAGGACATGGTGTGCTTCCCGGAAAGAGTCAAGTACGCGTGAGCCGGAGCTCTCCAGATCAGCTAGCTTGGCTGACCCTTGAGCTGTCTGTCGGCTTTGCTCTGGGAAGGAATCGGCACTGCGGTTCCAGACTGGTGGTGGTCTCTTGTGGGTAGTTGCTAACACACATATTTTAATTGTTAGGTTGAATGCTGCTAGGTAGGGTGAGGCACAGTGTGGGCAAGAGGTCGTTCACTAAATCATTCTAGAGCAGTGGTTCTCAGAACAACCTCCCCAATGCTGCCACCTTATTTAATCCAGTTCCTCATGTGGTGACCCCAGTCATAAAATGACTGCTAAGTGTAATCTTCCTAATGTTATGAATTGTAATGTCTTAAGTGTCTGATAGGCAACCCCTAAAGGGGTCACGACCCACAGGTTGAGAATCACTGTTGTAGATGGTTGCAGTGAAAGATGGTCACTGTCATAATCCTTCAGTGTAACTGGTGACCCCAGGAAGTGAGTCCTATAATAGCACTAGGTCATACTTTAGGTCTTCCCTTTAGAAAACACTGGTGGCCAATAGTGCCATCTGGTGGACAAAACTAGTTTTGTGTCTTCCAGCATGCAAAGGGTCTGAGGCCTTGGCAATCTTGGGGTAGGACACAAGGCCTAGTATGCTAGGCAAGCCCTCTGCCACTAACTGTACCACTACCCCTCCTCCCCCAAGTCTTGCTTTCCTAGTCTAGAACGGATAAGTTTAAGAACGAAATGGGGGCTGGAGAGTTGGTTCAGCGGGTAAAGTCCCAGACTGACAAATACATTTGTTGGGAGCAGTGAGACCCCAGATCCTGAATTTCTTGTAAACAACTTTTTCCCCCTGATCTGAGTGCCTACAGCTGCTCTGAGCACGAGACCTTCAGGAGTTCCTGATGGCAGGAGAGTGGTTTCTGGTGGGATTGGCTGGGGCGTGGCTATCTCTATATAAGCTGCCCCTGAACACAATAGAGCATTCTCGGGGCTTTCTGAACCAGCGTTTGGAGGTCGTGTGTCGGTCTGTCTCTGCCTCTGTATTCTCAACCTCCAGCCCCTTGCCCGAAGCTTGCGAACTGGGTTCGAGCGCAGAAGAAGGGAAGTGAGGCAGCCGCCATGGAGCCATCGGCCAGGTCAGACATTCTGAATCTTTCCCGGTAAACCACCTCGTGGTGCTACAAGAACCAATTTGTACGAATTGTCCTCTGACCTCACACACACACAAACATGTATAATTTAAAAAAGGAATGTGAGGCACCAGCAGGAACTGAGGGCTTGTCCCCTCTGACTTCTGTGTATGTACATGGGGATTTTGCCTGCATATTTGTCTGCACCATTTGTTTGCCCGGTGCCCATGGAAGCCAGAAGAGGATGTTGGATCCCCTGGAACTGGAGTTAGAAAAAGTTGTGAACTACGGTGTGGGTGCTGGTAAGTAAACGCAGGGTCTTCTGGGAGAAAAAACAGTGCTACTGGGCTGAGTCTGGAGCTTTAGTTGAAGAAAGGGAGGAGGGATTGATTATATGAGCAAGAGGAGGTCTGGTTATGATTGGGAAAAACGACAGAAACAGTTGATGTGAGCTAGTGGGAGCTCAGGGACGCTGGACTGACAGCTGGGACTCCCGCATGGGACCTTACTAAGCCCTCTGAATGTAAGTGACAGTTGTGTGGCTCCATCTGATGAAGGTGGGGGATGGCTGGCAGTGGAGCTAAGACTTACCCCTGGTGCATGAACTGGCCTTTTGGAGCCCATTCCCTATGGTGGAATCTTGCGCTCAGACTTGATTGGGGGGGAGGGCCTTGATATGCGAGAGGAGTGGATGGGGGAGGGCAGGAGAGGGAACTGGGACTAGTGTGTAAAATTTAAAAAGAAAAATCTTTAAAGATTGAGTCTTCTATCTTTCTGGCCATTGACCTGGACCTATTTTGAAGGGGAGGAGGGCCTGAGACAGGGTTTCTTTGTAGTCCTGGCTGTCCTAGAACTCCCTCTAGACCAGGTGGGCCTCAACTCGGATGCCTGCCTCTTCCTTGGGTAATGAGACTAAAGGTGTGTGCCATAAATTCCTGGCAACCTGAACTTTGAAGTTTTGCTGCCTCAATTGAATCTCAAGGTACCTGGGGGATAAAGTGTGTGTGCGTATGTGAACTTTCGTTTAAAAACGAGGTCCAACACTGGGCAGTAGTGGCGCATGCCTTTAATCTCAGCACTCAGGAGGCAGAGGCAAGTGGATCTCTGTGAGTTCGAGGCCAGCCTGGTCTACAAGAGCTAGTTCCAGAACAGGCTCCAAATCTACAGAGAAACCCTGTCTCAGAAAACACACACACACACACCACCAACAACAAAACACCAAGGTCCCAGGACAGCAAGATGGTTTAGTGGGTAAGGGTGCTTGCTGCCACCCCTCATGATCCTAGTTTGGTATCTAACTCATGGTGGAAGGAGAAAACTCCCACCACTTGGCCTCTGACTTCCACCCCTAAAGACAGGACAAAGGAAGTGGTGTGAGACTTATCCTAAGAAGCAGCTCTGACCTTCCCCACACGGAGCCCATGGGGGGTGTAGCTGCCTTTGGCCCCAGGACTGAGCTCTTTCTAAGACAACACACACATAAAGGAAGCATCTAGGATAGCTCGTGAATGACGGCTTTTTTTTTGTGGTGCGGGAGTCACCACACAACTGAGATCTGACTCAACAGCTGATGTCAGCTGGGAAAACCTCCCGAGCCAAGATTGGAAATTCAAATTTCAATGCAGCTAGTGACTGGCAATTTGTTTAAATCCCCTAAGGGCATGAGATGAAGCCCAGTATACCTTGAGTTCCAACCCTAGTATCACATAAGCCTAGTATGGTGGTGGTACAAGCCTACATCCCCACCACTCACACCAGGGCCTAGCAGGAAATTACAAGCTCAGGGTCATTGTAGTCTGCACAGACGTTTTGAGGCCAGCCTGGACTTAGGAGAACCAAAGTACTCTGAATATTGTTCACTACGGCATTAAGAGTGCTTGCCCCCCAGATTTTAATTAGATACATTTAAGCCTGTATATCATGAGCTAGAAGACAGCATACTGACAAAAGGGTGCTGTGACCTCAGAATACATGGCAGCGAAGATATGGACACCCGCGCTGAAGTCTCAGGGTAACAACTACCATATGGATGTGATCACTTTTATAAAAGCCTCCCGGCCTTGATGTTTTCTCTTTTAAAGATACTTGTGCACACATGTTCATACCGTGTTTGCCGAGGCCAACTGTCTCGGATACTCCTTTAAGGCAGGGTTGCTACCTGAACATGGAACGTGTTTATTTTTAAGATTTCTTTTTTTTTATAAGTGTAGGTACACAGAGGCCAGAAAAAAACTGTAAGATCCCCTGGAGCTAGAGTTATAGCTGGTTGTGAGCCATCTATGTGGATCCTGGGAACTGAACTTGGATCCTCTGCAAAGCAGTATGGGCTCTTAACCTTTGAGCCATTTCCCCAGTTCCCGGAGACTAACAACCGAAAGTGATCCTGTCTTCAATTGCTAGGAGGCTTTATTTATCCCACGGTGCTGGGATGAGCTGAAACAGTTTCCATGATTACAGAGCAGGGTTTTTCTTAACTGCTAATCTAGGTCTCCAGTTTGTATATTTAGAAAATCCTCACCATCACTTTACATAGGAAATGGACACTGTAAGATATATATGAGGAACAGAGCCAACCAAAAGGCTAGAGTTGAAATGTGGTATTGCTGCTTGAGATGCTAGGGAGACAGTTCTGTTCGTCAAGCTGCTAGGCCAGCACGAGGACCTGAGGACACTAAATATAAATCCCGCTCATAACAAGCTAAGTGGTGGGGCCGTCCTGGGAGACAGAGATGAAGATGGACCCTTGAGGCTTCCTGGCCAGCCATGCTTGCCCAAAATGTCACACCCAGGTCTCAGTAAGAGAACATAACTGACGAGAAAAAGGGGTGGGGGCAAAAACTCATGGAATTGAGGCACATTTGAGAAAATGATGTAAGTACAAAGCTCACATGTAAAATAGTCTTCAGTACATTTTCCTCCTAACTTCTATCTCACTGGTTCTTGTACCAGATGCTGTGTGAGAATGCTCTTGTATACTGTAAAGATTTGTCACTTGTATTAGTTTAATAAAACACTGATTGGCCAGTAGGCAGGCAGGAAGTATAGGCGGGGCCACCAGACTAGGAGAATTCTGGGAAGAGGAAAGGCAGAGAGTCAATTTATCAGCCAGATGGAGAGGA